AATTTCTTACAAAAACATTTGCTCCATAAATCAGGAAAATTTCTCAGACCACCCAGCAAGTCAGAGTCAAGGCCAGAACTAGAGAGAACCGAGGTCTCCCAAACCCTATTCAGGACCCTTCCCGGGACACCTCCCCAGAATAAATATTTTCCTCTAAAATCTGTTTTACGTGATGACTGAGTGAAGACGCTGTTTAGAGAGAGAGGCCACAAAGATAAACAAGCCACAGCAAATGGGCTTGGGGTGGGGGGCGGGGCAGGCAATGAGGCCTCAGGCACCGCATCAGCCTCAGTATCAGGGAGAAGAAGGGAGAGTTTCCAAGGAGCCGGTTTCTGTTTTTCCCTGAAAAACAGCCCAAACTGTCTGTACAGGAAAGATGGGGTTCTGGGGTCAAGCTCTGTTCCAGGAACCCCTTGAGAGAGCTGAATTAGACGATCCAATTCAACCCTGGACACATGCATGGGGGCCCTTCCAGTATTTGGACACTTTATGGGCCTGGGATGTTTTGGAAACATTTACGGGAGGAAGTGGGGGAGCCGCCTTGAGAAGCAGAGCCCCTCACCCATCCTGCTTTCTGCGGCAGTGGACAGGGTATGCTTACCTGACTCTGCCCACCCTCAGACACCCGGGGTCTCATTGATGTTTTTGTCTTTTTCTTGTTGGTTATGGGTAGGTTACTCTGCTCAGCATGTTTTGTTTCTTGTCCCCAGGTTAGGTTTTGTAGTTTTAATGAATGAGCAATTTCATCTGACATCCTGACTCCACTCCCTCTCCTTAAAAAAAATAAAATAAAATCTCCCTTTTTGTTTTTAAAGATAATATAACCCCAGTAAAGATCATTTAAAACTATTAAAATCTCCCAGAAGTCTATCCTGTTTAGACACAGCTCCTTTCGTATCCACATTCAACCACATTCTCCCGTGTTTTACACGGAATGTCAAATCAAGGGCATTTTTTCCATGTTGTTCCGTGGTTGTCATAATGACGCCTTTAAAAAAGGCATTGTATTTGTTTAATTTGTTATTTATTAAGCCATTCCTTTATTCCAACCCCTCTGTGTGTAATTCATTTTCATAGTGCCCCAGCCACACTGACCCATGCCCGTTCCCCGAGGACATTTCCTACGTTCCCACCACCTCTGCCTTTGCCGGGGCTGTGCCCTCTGCGTGAATGGCCTTCCCTGCCTTCTGCCTGTTGAAGTTGAGACTCGCTCAATTACTAATCTTTCCACGGAGCACCCCCTAGGTGCCTTGCGATGGTCAGTTTTATGTGTCAACTCAGCTAGGCTACAGCCCCCGGTTATTCAACCTCACATCCATCTAGGTGTTGCTATGGGTGCATTTTGTAGAAATAATTAACGTCCAGCATCAGTTGACATTAAGTAAGGACATGGGCCTGGATGGTGTGGGTGGGCCCGATCTAAACAAGCGAAAGGCCTTAATTCTGAGAAGAGCCCTGGTTTCCCAGAAGAAGAACTTCTGCTTGTGAGCAGCAGCTTCAGTCCATGCCTGCCCTTCCTGATGGGTTTCAGACTTGCCTAGCCAGTCCTACAATCACATATTCCTCATAATTAATCTCTTAATACACATCTCCTACCGGTTTTTTTCTCTGGTTGAACTCCCTCCAGCAGTGGCGTTCTCT